CCCCAAAACCCCAAAACCCCACGATTTGATAACTCCGAGAAATTAAGGAGTAATATTAAAGTAATTATTAAAAATGATAAGAGATAAAAGGCGATAGGATCAGTGGTAAATTGTCTCGAATATAGAACTAGGGCCTGGACAGTACAATCCATCTGTCTCCACCTTCGGCTAAAAATACAATTTAACTTAGAAGTAAATTTCAAAAGCGTTTCAAGCTAATTTTATAGTGATCCTGTTAATTAAATCGAATCTGGATTTCCAAAGTACGCAATAACTGCTTGTTGATGTTTAACATTTTATTTTTATAGAAAAAGGGTGAATTTATCTTTTGGAGCCAAAGGCGACAGATTCTAAAAGTTTTTGCCAGTTAATCTTTTGCCTGGTATTTATATCATTATATGTCTTGAACAATTTTACCTTAGGTCCTGGCTAATATGACCCTAGCACCTTGAAAAGAATTGGACTCGACAAAGGAAATAATTAATGCCTTACAAGTTTCAAGTCTAATTCGCCCAGACTCCAGATTTATTATGACATGGAGAAGTAGGCATAGGAACAAAGTGTATTTGACAAATAGACTTTGATGGAAAAAGATTTGCAGGAAGCTATAGAGTAGCAAATGAACTTAAAAGAAAATCGGTTTTAAAAGTTCAACACTACCATTGGCAATGATAAAAATAACCTGACAAAGAGTCTAATGATACAAGATAAATAGTTAAAGATTCAAACAGGCCTAGCAATAACTACAAAGCCAAGGCCTGATAAAGTTCCCTCAATTCCATGTAACATTCTATCATTAAATGCTTATAAATAGTTGAACCTAAAAATCACCAAGGTGAATAAGTTGGTCCAGGCACTTACAATCCTAATGTGAATCTGCTTCATAAAAACTTGCCTTAGCTGAGTTTCGCTTCAAATGTTTAAGTTTCTCAAGGTCCTAAGAAAGCACTAGAAAAGTATATAGCAAACATATTCTAAAGTCACAGAAGAATGAACTCTACTGCAATAACAACTGAATAGAGTATGGATGACTTTAATTATACCAAAAATACTAAGAGAGTCAAGCTGGGTCTTGTGCTTCCCCCACCAAGGACAGAAGCTAATTCTCCAAGAGAAAGCAAACTAGATCTTTAAGGCAATCCTGTCTAATAAACTATCCCTATCTTAACTAGTCAAATTAAGCCACCTGGACCAGGTGCGTATGACAATCACTTGTATCATGAATTCGGAGCAGCTCAGAAAAGAGAATTCCAAATCAACAAAAAAATAAGTTTCGGATCGAATGAGCCGAGAAGATTTACTCTACATAGAAGCTTAGAGTCTCCATTTATGGAACCTACAGTAGGTGAAAATCCACCAGCCTGGTAATATTAATTAGAAGAAAAATAAAAGTAGCAATAGTCAGACAGCAAACCTAGGCCAATGAATTTGACTAAGAAGCAGAGTAAGGATACTATTTTATAGTAAAACTTGGGTAAACGTCTAACACCAGGACCAGGGCATTATGATATTGATTTCTAAGATGAACTCAAAATATTAGACTAGAAATTATCAATCAGATATCATCTTGGGCCTTTCGGTACAACTGAGAAAAGATTTAAAAGCCCCCAATTTAGAAATAATGAGCTGGATTAAAATGCTTAGTCAACTTATAATCTTAACAAAAAACAAGAGCTTAGGAAGTATATGGATGAGGCTTTAGACATGATTAAGAGTGTAAGCAATAATAAAGAGACATTTGCCTTCAAATCGGGAACTAAGAGATTCGGTGATCCTAAGCTACATGTTTAGAGTTAGGAGCTACAGGAATAAGAGCACTAGGAGTCAATAATAAGCAGATTAATGAAGTCTTAGTCTAAGCCTGAAAAGCCCCCAGTTTCACTAAAGAATATCAACAGACCTTTCGATTCATCATCTCCTAGGTTTGATTATCCAAAGCATGACTACAGTTAGTCTCAACTTCCTGGTCCAGGGTAATATCAAAAAGATTTTGAAACTGAGGACAAACTAAGAAAACTTGAAGTCTAGCTTTCAGGGACGATCGGAAAGAGATATGTGCCCTCTTTAGGAGTCGAGGATCGTAATAAGCATTCCTTGTTTGCTCAAATTCTTAACTAAGGTCACTCTAGTCCGATTGGCCCAGGCTCTTATAATACTGCAAGCACTGAAATTACTAAGAAAAGTTTCAACACCTCCTTAAGTAAGAGAAAGATTCCAAAACTCTCAAGTGGAATTGGGGAGTTAACCAAGAAATTTTCTGCTTTCAATGACCTTCATAGTAAAAGTATTCTCTGAACTCATAAATAAAGGAATCTATTCATAAAATATATATAGATTGATAAACTAATCATTAACTTATTAATCATATTATTAGAGATTTTTAGTGCTAAAACTTAACCATTATTTATATAATCAGGCTTAACTTAAAATCATTTTCCGATCCTAAATTTAACTCTTGCTAACCTATCGATTTGATTATGTGCTAATCAAACAAGAGGTTTATTATTTTGAAGAGGGGATTTTTATTCAGGAATAATTTAACCTGCTTTCTATCCAAATTCTCTCTTTAAATCTTCTAAAAGCAATTCATCATCAAGTATCTCAGGGTATCTGGCTTCCAAGAATGCATTTTTAGCTTCCTCGAGTGGAATTTCCTTTTCTTTGCATAAGTAGTTGATTATCATATAGCCGGTTCTGTTTCTTCCATGGGTGCAATGGACGCCTATATACTCATCTTTAGCAATAATGCTTTCCATTATTTTAATCATTCCACAAAATGTTGATTTCAGATTTTTTTCTGGCAACATATAACCTGGTATCATAAGTTTGTAGTAATTCACACCTAAGGCTTCAAAAGAGGATGGAGAATAGTATTTCTTTGTATTTGTTAAATCAATCACATCTAAAGTCAAGGATTATATTTCCAATAGTTTATGGAAGAGATTTTAAAGTTAATCTGAATGCTTACATTTTAGCTTCATATCTTGGCGGAAATAATGACCATATACGTCTTCAGGAGTAATTCTTTTTGGATTTTAATATCTACTTATATTTACCTATCCTATTAAGATATGTTTAGATCAAATTTCTCATCAATTGGACACTTGAATGGAACTATGTTAACTCTGATCTCTTCACCGAATTTGTTTATCATCTAGCGAAGTGGTTTCCCATAACTATACAAATTTAAAGATCAGAACTGTAATTATCATAATTTGTATTTACGGAGCATATTATTTCCAGTCTTTACTAATTTAGTTTTTAAATTGCCCCTTCATTTTCCTCTTAAATCCTCTTTTTTTCTTTCTTTTAATTTCCATTATTAATAATTTCTTTGTAAACTGGTAATATTCTCATGGGGTTTTGGGGTTTTGGGGTTTTTGGCCATACGGGGTTTTGGGGTTTTGGGG